ATTAAGGCAACGAATCTACATCTCGTAGATCGTAGATCGTAGATTAGTATATCTCGTAGATTCGTTGCTTTAGAATGGATAGATTACAACATAAAATTTTATGTTTACTTCAATATATTTCATTTATCGAAGGGGAATAATAGCAATTTTCACTGTGAAGGGTTGGCTGCCTCTTGCAGCACATCACATATTGTATGCAAAATATGACGAATATTATTGATGTATTCGTTGAGCTAATCTCTTGTAGCCTATCCATTTTTCATTCACAATTTTATATATAAAGTGCAACAATATATATAATTTGGAACAGCGAAGCGTAAAAGAAACCTCAAACGCTTCTTTTACGCTTCGCTGTTCCAAATTACGCTTCCTACACATTTCGCTTACGCTTCTGTCACTCTTCCCTTACGTTCGATTTACGCTCCAAATTCTATTTTCACCAGGGCACCTCAGCACTAATCACACGCGACACGGAAGGAGGCGCGAAAAATATACGATTGCACACAGTCACTATTTGCACTTGGTATCTCTTGTAAATTTATCCGACGCGACGGTACGAAATTTTATCGACAGAAATCGTCGACGTATAGATGTCAAATTAAAATTGTCGTATCAAGAATAATATACGATATGCGGAACGGCGCGGGCCGCTAACCGACTCGTTCAACTGTCGCCGCGTGAATGATCTTTCGCGTACGGCGTGACTGCTGTGACGCATTGTTTTGCCGCGCGCCGAAGACCGAGCCCGAATTCCAAGAAATGACGTAGCGTCGTAAACACCTCGGTCAAAAACAACCTACCTATTGTACCGAATTATTCGTCGCGGCACAGTCGAGCGAGGCGGATGTTCCGCGCGTGTCTTCGCGTCGCTTCTCGTAACGCGATCATTTTCCGCGAGAATTTCGATCATCTTTTAAACAACGCGATCGTCTCCCGCGGGAATTAATAATTTATCAATCGCGTTCGAGTAACTGTCGCGATCCGTAATCAATATCGTTGATTTTTACGGCGATTTATTGAGATAAATATCACGCGTAGAAATTTTATAAGGAAATTACACATAGAAGTTATTATTAGTAAGTTTCGATACGTCTACGGCGATAATATCTTTTTCAATAATCGAGCTCGGGTGAATCTCTCTCGTGCTGTGAAATTTTTCTCGGTTCAAGTTAAACATTTTATCGCTTTCAGATGAAAAGCGCAAAACGACACACGAGTCGCCGGGTAAAGTGACGACAACAAATTACAATATATCGATCGCTTGCCAAGAAACAATCTCGTTTAAATGATCGAAATAAAGACTTTCTAAAGCGATCACAGGGACCAACCCTTACCGAGGCAGAATAATAACCGTTTTATTTGTGAAAATCAACGGAGCAGATACGGCGTATCTTTCAGTATTCGTTAAAATTGTTTTTATGTTTTGTACACCCGCGCGTCGCTCGGCAGTTTACGTCGAGCCGCCGCGCCGCCGTTGACCGCCGCTCGGTCAGGGGTCGTTCGCGCTTCGCAATGCATTACCGCTCGAGCCGCCGGGACGTGCGCCACGGAGCGACGTGCGCGATCGTTTTCCGCGTAGTTAATCGACGCCACGGCCACGCGATCGGGCTGATCGATTCCGCGAGTGCCGCGGGACGTAGTTTTCGTTCCTCGGAAGTGAGTAACGTACCTGTTTCGCTGTTCTCGAGCTACAACGGCGTCGTTGACGTGATTCGCGTAGTGTCGCCGCGGTAGCGTCGCGCAGTGGCTGCCGGGAAACGGCTCCATGTTGATCCACTCGAGGGGCGCCGTGGGACACGCAGTGAATCGGTCCCGTGCCGATGGTCGTTCGCGTTTCACGGCACGCACAATCGCGGTTACTATTGTGCAGTTGAACAGTCGCGCGACGTAAACTCGACCCCCGAGCGTCTCCGCGAGTCCTTCCCCGCCGGAACGTTCCGCGCCGTCGTTTGGCGCGAAGCCGTCTCGCCAGATTCCGCTCGTATTTTCGCCGGGAGTGCCGTGTCGTGCGTTACTTCGGCGTTATTCTTTCGCGAGTGTCGCGTTGTGCCAGTGCCAAGTGGAGAAGTCTGAGAGGAGGCGGCGGCTTAGGAGGCATCGGGCAACGGCGGAGCAACTCTGTGGTGAGTACGGCTGTTTGTGCATTGGTCTCGCGTTGACGTTCACCTCGCGGGATTGTTTCACTCCGTCGTTCCGTGTGCTCGACTCCCCAGTGAGAAATAATTCGTCGATCGACGTCAATTCGACGTCGTTTCGACGTCGATCGACGAATCATTTCTCACCGAGTCGCCCGCTCGAATTATTGGCGTGCGAACTCGCCGGACGACTTGTACGCATGTCCCCTATTATGAGACAAGTTTCTAATACGAGATAGCAGGATTTCGGTTAAATTAACAAGCACCATCGGTTGGTTCCACCGAGAGTTTATTGCTCCCCTGGTGAAAATAGAATTCGGAGCGTAAATCGAACGTAAGGGGAGAGTGACGGAAGTGTAAACGAAATGTGTAGGAAACGTAATTTGGAACAGCGAAGAGGCGTTTGAGGTTTCTTTTACGCTTCGCTGTTCCAAATTACACTTCCTACACATTTCGTTTACGCTTGTGTCACTCTTCCCTTACGTTCGATTTACGCTCCAACTTTTATTCTCATCAGGGTCTTGAAAGTGCAATCTGTTTAGCGGAAAATTGACTGTTAGATCGTGTAATCGTCGCGAAAAAAAGATTCGCGATTGAATTTCAACGTTGAACACCTGCTATCTCGCATTAAAAGCCTATCTCATAATAGGGGACTCTCCTTTCTAAATCGTGGGCACTCGTAATAATCTCGTGATCTCTGAATTATGGCGGGCGAGAGCGAGTCTCATTGCGAGCCCTCGGAAATATGCATGTTATATCAATTATCTATTTCATACTAATTGATTTATTCATTTTTCTAATTTCAGCACCAATTTTGAGGATCATCGCTACGGACTATCAGTTTCCGTTATCGTATCGTTGTCTATCTAAACGAACTGCAAACGGTTCGTCGTGTCGTGTCGCGTTCGGGAGTGCCGGTTAATGTAATTACACTAAAGACATGTGTCAAAGCCCATTTGAAAAATAAGTAGTCCTGTCGGTGGCCACACTTGACGGGACTGAATATTTTCAAATGGGCTTTGTAAACGGGAGTGTATAGTATCGCGCGAAAAAAAACGTACTTTTCTTACGCGTTCGCGAGTGTTGATGGAGTCTCATGGGAGGAGAAGACAACCTGAGTGGAGGAGCAGGCCCGGGAGAGGCATCAGGCACCGGCGGAGCAACTTTGGGGTAATTATTTTACTTTATTTTGTACAAAATTAATCTCTTTTCCAGTTTATTATATTGAGCTGTTGTATATCGTAATTCCATATAATTTTTAATAATTAAAAATAATAATTAAGAACAGGAAGAAATTTAAAATTTGATAAAAATTTATTCCTATGAATATCTTTTGTAGAAAATTTTGCGCGATGTAATTTTTTACACATCTAATTGAATAAAACGCTCGACACGTGTAAAAATTTTACAGTACTGATTTTGTTGAACACTGTTCTAACATAAATTTTTTATTTTTATGTTACAGAATCTACTAGCTACGTGGCAGATATAACTCCGCTGTTGCGCTTCGGATCGGTGAGTGAGGTTTTTATTTACAAAGGTAACGAATCTACAACTTGTAGATGGTAGATAGTAGAACGTAGAACGTAGATTACTTTCTGTAGATTTGTTACCAGGAAGTGGATAGATTACAACATAACTTTATATTTTGTCCTTGATATTCAATGGGTCCTTGAATTGTTTTTCACATTTGTTTAATTCATAGAGCTTTTAAATCAAAGTATGTTGAGCTCAATTTTTTATGTTGAGAATTATTGTACCACATTACAGAAATTACGCAAAATAAGGCGAATAATTTATTCACTTATAATCTATCCATTTTTGAACAATATACATATTGATATGTGAAGTAAAATGATATTTTATGACGTGAGATTCTAAATATTTTCGAAATAAACTCGTGATGTTTCGTAGAACATAAGTGTATTCTACTTGATAAGGACCTGTAATTTGGTCGAAACGTTGTAGCTTTTTTTGTTAACAAATTAATTTCTTGCCGGGTTGGTCGACTATAAGTTTGCAACTTATTTTTATTCATTACTGGCGACAATGAGCACTATTACATTCTAAATATTTTGTCGAGATTGCTGAAACATTGCAAATTATTGTTTTGCATTATTGGCGTTTATCGATTATCTATAATATCCAATTACAATACCAGTATTTATCGTGCGGGAAGGTTCTTTAATTCTGGATCTCACGTCATTTATTCGATATGTCTTTCGCAATACTTTCGAGATGCGTCTTGCATGAACAACATGCATAATCATACGCATCTTCACACATTCGCGATCGATTTTCGCGATCGAGTTTCGCGATCGGTTTTGAAAAACGTTTTCAAGATATTAGTACTTTTTTAAATTTCATTCATATTAGAAATGTTAATTTATCGCGCAATATAATTGAAATTATATAACGCGAAGTAAAATTTTTTCTGTATCTACACTTGAATTTTGAATTATCAATTTCAAAGTCGAGAAGAAACGGTCAATACTCTCGAGTAAATAACGGAAGTAGATATATATTTAATTAGTTTATTGAAGTAAATTGTTTCGAATTAAAATTCTTTTGTAATTAACTTGGCGTAGTCGTGTATTTTTCAATACGATCAACGTTCACATAATTCGAATCGTAATATCTGTCGGTGACGATAACAAACCGACAATGGAAGGAGTTTCCTTCCTTCCTGATCTCTGGTCAAAATGACCAGACTGTATGGCCAGGAGCAACGAAAGGTAGGTCCCATCTGGCCCGACGAAGAAAGACTGAATACGACGAAGTGGTTAATATTGACCACTTTGATGGAGTATGTAAGGAAGGCGATTCATGAAATGTGCTAATTTCTTTTTATTTGTCAAAATTCGGGTGGGTTATATTCTTATCTTCTTTACATATTCTCGCATATGTGTGAGATTAAAAAGACACTAATTAAACCCCAATCGTGCGCGTATAAATCCGACCTCTTATAAATCGCATCACGGTTTTAATGAAAGACTTGTAGGTTTCTTAACAAAAAGTTAAATCGCGGGTAAGTAGCAAAATGGATAGAACTATATAGCGGAATACGGATAAGTAGGGATTTGGATAGGCAGGCACATGGGAATATAACTCGATAATTAAAAAGATAGATAAAATTATAACTGCAACTCAATATTATTAAATATAATTATATTCGCCATTATTTTTAATAGAATACTTTTAATAAAATTACACTATAATAATTATATTATTGGAAACGTTACATTGTAAGTTTGTTGTATTTATTTTAAATTTTACAACATTAGTTGTAGAAATTAGAAAAATATTAAATATTCAATCGGATGCATATAATAAGATGAAAGTTGTTATGCGTTTGTTAAGTTTTCACTTTAAATTTACTTAAAATTTTTGTACATTTGATTTACTTTTAAGAGATTGTTAGTAAATAAATTCGGGGTATTTTTTATCCCAAACATGCAATATGTACAAGTATATATTTTACATTGCAAGAATTTCATGTTATTGTATGCACATCTAATATTTTATATGTACGATCGAGAGAAATATTGCACAGCTATTATAATTTCCACTTTATAATGTAATTATTTCTTTTATAAAATTGTATACATTGTAAAGTAAATTATAAGAAAAATTAAATAAATAATAAAATTGTGAAAAGTCACATGGTAAAGAAAAGGGACCGCTGATCGAAATCAGCGGGGGTGGTGGAAGGCCTCTGTGGAGATTGATTTGTGATTTTTCATCAAATAAAATTTTAATTTAATTGGATTCACATATATTCATTTAATCGATAGATTTTTGTTTGCAATTGATCGATAGATTTGCCTTTACAATGTGATTTTTCGTTTGCACATTAATAAAAAATGTTAGTCACAGGCACAGCCACATGTGTAGCATTGAGTAACATTTTCTATTAATGTTTTACATTGTAAGAGTTATGTATGTATTATTGTTTGCATATCACATGTTCATATATAATTTTATGTCATAATGGAATAGTGTACATATTTTTATTGTACATTATGATTTTAGTTTTACTATGTAAACTTACCTGTCTTTTTATAATTATGTATTATATATTACAAAATAATTTAAAACATTTTTTTAGTTGTAAAAATGTAAAAACAATTATTGCAAACAAAAGAGGACCGCCGCTAAGAATTCGGCGGGGGTGGTGGAGGGCCTCTACAAATTGGTCTGTTTTTATCGGATAAAAATTTAATTTAATTTAATTTAATTTATAATTAGAAAAATGCAAGTTTTATTTGTGCAAGAATTTAATGTTATTGCATGCACACAAACAATTAAGGATGCAATCGTATTGATTATTCGATATAAACGGAGCAATTTGATATGTACAAAAAATGTTTAAATAATTTTCTAGTGAATATCGAGAACGGTTAGCTACAAATTTTATTGACAAAAAGAGTACAAGTTTGATATAAAATTTGACACATTTAATTGTTCTGTTTCCGTTAAACGCCGGGTGGAAAAATAAATAATTAATTACAGATAAAGGAATGACTTACAAATTTTTTCAGTTTCACTTCGGACGTCTTCATATGAAATATAAACGATTGTATGTAGTAGTTATTTAATTCCAGCCAAGTATGCCAGTAAATGTTTGCGACAGTTCTGTGCTTTTGTGATTCAGCATCTGCAACAATAGTTAAGTCCCTTTTTTTAATATAATTTCCTTGGAATTACAAAGCAATACACACACACACACACACACACACACAAGTATGTTAGTATTTTGAAACCGATTAGTCAATATATTCTAACTCGTAATGTAGTTATGCACATGTGAGAATAAAATTGTAAAATCGCGCTTCTCTAACAAATAGCTAAAATGTAAAGGTGCTATTTTTCTTTTAGAATTTTACAATAAATATTTCACTTTTTATAAGAGAAAAATGTCTGTTAAATTTCTCTTCGCGTCAAATCGATAGTGTAAAGGCCTATAACTGACGTTAAGAAAATTGTCGAGTATTATGTTCTTATGTATTATGTATTTACCATTCATGCGTTAAAGAAATTACATAAATGCGTTAAAATTTATACCAGAATAGGAAAGCTATAGAATGTCTGGTCAAACGATAAAAAGGGAAGGGATAAACGTATTCTCGTCGATTGCTTCGACAGTCATTCGTGTCCTGAACTTCGCTAAGTGATGATCTGTATAGAGACTCAATATTTAGGTCTCAACAGAATTCTATTGCTTGCTGTTGGCTTGTGGCCATTTCAACAATCCAAATTCACTCGATTTCAATTTAGTTTCCTCTTTGCTATTTTAATGACAAGTATTATATTTCAGGTAAGGAGAAACACACACATTGCACATAATAGTATTATTGCAGGATAAATTAATGCTTAAAAATCTTTTACAAACAAATAATTTATATTAATCCATATTATCTAGTAAATTATTTATAATCACATATTACAATTTACAAATAAATAATTACAGTTAACAGCATTTATTACAACATTACAATATACTTCAGATTTCATCGCCAGGGTTCTGTTTTCTGCAACCTTTTTTACTATTTTTATGATAATATATTATGCATTTTATGTTAACATCGAAATTGTAAGTTCATAGTTTATGAGATATCCGTTAAATTTTTATATTAAAAATATTTTCCAATGTTGCTATATTTTAGTATGTAAAGTTACTAAAATAATAGGTAAAAACGTTGTTGATACAACTTCAGCATGTATGTGACGAATTAACAGATAAAAATGAAATCGCTATCGTGGAAAAATATGGCTACACTGCGAAATGTTATACAATTGCACTTATCGGTAAGATAATATTTTTACATTATGTATATATAATTATGTTTTTCTATTTAACATATAAGTTATCAAGATTTATTTTTGTCATATAAACTTTTGATATATTTTATGTGATAATTATATGTATGTATTGTAGCAAAAGTTCTAACAATAAGTCCAATAAAGTTACAAATAGCTATCAATTACGCAATACATATTGGTTGTAGTTAAATTAAAAAATATGAATGTTTGCGACACATAAAATATTCTATATGTATATATGTAACATAATTTTAAAAGTGTATGTTATACTACAGAAATTAAAATATTAATTATTTTCTTATTGTTTTTAGTAGCTGGAATTTGTGCAGTATCTGGTACTTTTATCGTTCAATTGTGGATTATATATGATGATGTTCTATCTATGAACGTAACTCGATCACACAGTATGCTATACGTAACGGAATATTTTGTCGATCAGGAAAAATACTTTTTTTTAATTTTATTACACATAAACTTAGCAGAATGCATAGGTGCAATTGCGATGGTAGCAACAGGAACAATGTTTATTACGTATTTTGAAATTTTCTGTGGAATGTTTAAAATCTCCAGGTACAAAATGGACATGAAATGATCGCTGAAATTTTAATTGTGAATAAACGTGCGATGAACAAATGTCAAGATGTGTGTGTGCGCGTGCGCGCGCGCGCGTGTGTGTATGTGTGTATGTGTGTGTAAAAATAAAGAAGTACTTTATTAAAAACATTTATATTATTAACAGTTATCGTATTGAACGCGCAGTAAAAATCAACATTGTACAAAATATGACGTTAAGAAATAAAATGTTAAGATCCGTGAATTTAATTTGCGCCATAGATATTCATCGACAAGTTATAAAGTTAGTATTTACATAATAGTATATGTATGTATTATATACAATAACTGTTTTTTATTTTTGAAGATTATGCAAACACTTCCTATCCACATTTGAGATAATGTTCTTCTGTTTAGCACAGATGTTTGTAATTTCATTGTGTTTCAACTTTGTTCGAGTAAGTTTTAAATTTTATCCTCATATTCATTCTTGAATAAACATTAAACATAAAATATAAATACTGTAGAAAGACATTTATGCTATCCAGGAAAATCCTTTTAGACGTTTCTTACTTAAACACGTGTAGTAATTTCGTATAAATTTTAGTCTTTATTCTAACATTTTAAAGAAACAAAAATATATATCGTAAAATGACAGTTAAGGACAATTATATGTAAAACATTGATTGCAATTGTGAGATTTATGTTACAGATTTCTCAGATTTTGTTGTACGAGCAAACTACTAAAAAAGCTATATTACCTACAATATTTGTAGCTGCTAATATTCTATATTTGTTCCTAGCAAATTTCTATGGACAAACTATGACGGATCACAATAATTACATATTTAATACCGTGTAAGGGGATTTCTCGAGAAGTATTGCAAGAAGATTCATTTTACAGATTTCTGTATCGAAAGTAAATAAATATTCAACGTCACCAGTAACCAATTAACGTAAAATGATGAAAATTATTCGTGAATTTTCTTGGTTTATTTCTCATATTATTTGTTTTTGTCCTTATACTTTCGTAGATACAATGTTGAATGGTACGCAACTCCTTTACACATCCAGAAGCTAATACTCTTCTTGTTGCTAAAAGGTGCCAAAAATTTTACTCTGAATGTCGGTGGATTGTTTATTACATCTTTAGAGTGTTTTGCCACGGTAAAGATCATGTATTAGTTCTTTGAGTATACGAGCTAGTATATTGAAAATAAATAGTAATAATGTTTTTGATTACAGTTGGTGAAAGCATCAGTATCTTATTTTACTGTTGTATTAGCTACACAGTAGTGAGATAAATACAAATCAAATAAGCACATGAGAAAAATATATTTAAAGAATATAAAGCAGTATTCATTAGAATTTTATTATTCATTAGAAAATAGAAAATTTTTGTTTTGATGTAATTTAACTTGAAGTTTTTCTTATTAGAGAAAATAGAAAATATTCAATATTCAAATATTCGAAAGCATTGAAACATTAACTCTGCAATGCATTAGGATTAAATATTGTACATCACGATGTATTATACATCGAAAACAAGAGATTGTATTATTTTATATACAGTATCAGTTCGATTCAAATCGACAGAGCTTATCTTTACATATGATAGATAACTTTACCACGAACTCAATATTACTGTGATAAGTAAGAAGTTATAAATAATATATTTCAATGTGTATATTAAGATTAAAATATATGAAACTTAAGTTAACATATATAAAAACCTTAAAAATAAACATCAAAACGAGAACATCTCTAGTAAAACATAATTATTACATCATTGTGATAGACAATATGTTTGCCCAACTGTTAATCATACGTCGTTTATCAACTGAAAAATATTTATGATTACAGTAATAGTTTTTGACTTATAAAATTATTATTATTGATTTATTAACAGAATTTTTCACTTTTACTAGCAGTGAGTGGTAAATATAATTACTGGTAAATTTGCATAATTACCAAATTTAATACATTTACCGTAACATATACGTATGCATATACTAGTAAAAAAATAGGGAACAGTTTTCGTAAGTTTTCGTTAATAATTAATTAGCTATTTTCAAATTACTGCAACTCGGTGAGAAATGATTGTGTAGATAAAAAATTCGGAAAGCATTTTGAAGCTTGAAGTTTCTACTTTAACGTGTTATTAATAGATTTCTAACGCTATTTATCTTTATCTATGGTTTAAAAACAACATACTGTTTTGTTCATTAAAATTACATGTATTTGATGCTCTGCAGCTAGATAAAAATTTTTTTCTTAAAAAATACAACATAAAGTAAATATTGAATATTGTACTAAATTAAAAATGTAAACAATCATATAGTTTAAGTTGTTTCACATTGTTTCTAAGATTTTTCACTTACGATTTGTTATTGACATGTTGTACGTTTCTTCTCTAAATAACATAATTAAATTATTTAAATTTAATTCTGTTAGTAGTGAATAAACAACAAATAAGAGTGTGCCCATTTTAGTAAATAATGTCATTAATTGGATAACTTAACACATCAATATTTGAGATCTGCTAAAATCATTAATCATTAACACTAATCACTAATTAATATTAAAAATGCCATATGTGTCAATTTAATGCAATTACTTCTAAATTCTGAGTTTCACCATCAGGTAAATTTGGCATCAAAAGGATTAAAGTTAAGAGATATTTCTTTTAAAGACTAACAATAAGTGTGTCTTATGATATGATTATTTTACAACTGACGTATCCAGAAGTAATAGTATTTGCTAACACATCCATGGCACGATTATTAATTTGTCACATACAAATATACTATGAAGAACGCAATAAATCTAATTACTATCTGTTAAAATGATGATTTTATATTAGTTGTAAAATAGTTAAGTTGATTATTATTCTTCTCAAAGAGTAAACGTGTCTTACGAATATATGCATAAGAATGAAGTACAATAGAAGCATACAAGGAAGAGAGAATACGCATGCGTGTGCCGTTCGATTTCTCATCCAAGTCTTTCTTTTTAATGCGAAAAGTAATACGCTCAATTTTCCCGGATATTACATAGATAGTTTTACAATAAATATATTTCGAAGAAACGCTTCTAAGTTATACGAATGTCTAATGACATAATTTATTAGCTTATTATATAATTTACGTTATTTGCATTAGAAGAGAAAACATTAATCGATAGAGAAAAGGGAGAATAGGCATAGATAATCGGTGTCTTTACACTCATTCGCGTCCTTAACTGCATAAAGATATGATCCGGAAAGCAGATCAGTATTTTTCCGCAACTAGAATTCTAATGCTTATTATCGGCTTATGGCCCTATCACCAATCCATCTTCACTACATTTCAATATATTTTCATCTCTGTTATATTGACAACGTTTGTTGTATTTCAGGTAAGAAAACATTATTGTAATACAAATAGTTACATCATTGTATAAACTATCAAACGACAAGTTTTTACTACATTTTTATTTATCTTACTCTGATTTATGCAATAATATTTGTACTAAATATATCGTAACTATTATTAATTAAATGTATATAAAATTAAAGTCACAAAATTTAATAGAAAATGAGAACGCTGTACATTTCTTATTGATTTATATCATATTTATGGTCCTGATTAAATTCTCTATTAAAGAAATGTAATTAGAGTAAGTAAATAATATATATATAAATAAAATAAATAATAGATAAATAAAATTGTCTTTTAACAGCTGACAACATTTCTAACGTTAAAATGTACAACAGAACACCTTGTAAAGGTTTTGTCTTCCATATCTTTAGACACTATTTTTATAATAAAGTATTACGTGTTCCATTTTTACATCGACGATGTAAGTTAGTTACTTGTGAAATATCGTTAAACGGAGTAACCCTCTCCGTCTAGCGAACTTTTAAATCGACATAGTTACTTTAATATATAAAAAAAGTTACTGGAATGACAGATGAAGGATTTACTGGTACAGCTTCAGCACGTACATAACGAATTAAAGGATAAGAATGAAATTGCTATCATGAAAAAGTATGACTACATAGCGAATTATCACACGGTTATACTTATAAGTAAGGCAAATCTAATTTTTAATCACGTTATCAATATAATATGTAAGATATAAAAAGAAGAAAGAATTAATTTTTCTAGATTATATATGATCTTGTCATATGTATAATTCACATACCTAAATCTATTAAAGTAATTTATCAAGTATATGTATAGGTACATTTGCGATAAATAGCAAATGTGTTTTACAGCATATTAAAAAGAGAATTAGCTCTCATAATCAGTGTAGCAATAAAATAAAATTTTACTTAAATTAAAATGTTTCATACTGTATAAATGGTACATAAAATAGTTTTATGTATACATATATGTATAATAGTTACATATTCGTATATGTATGTGTATTACTTAAATAATAATTTTTATCTAACACATTTTTTAGTATTTGGAATTTGTGTACTATTTGCTAATATTATATTACAATTTTGGATAAATATGATTGATGTTGATTTACCAATGAACGTATCTCAGCCATATCAGTTTGTCTTTACAATGGAGTACTTCATCGATCAGGAAACGTATTTTTACTTGATTATATTGCACATTAATGCAACTGTTTGCATTGGGACAATTATAATAATAGGAAGTGGTACAATGCTCATTACATACATGTACCATACCTGTGGAATGTTCAGAATTGCTAGGTACGAACATAGAAATGATCTTAGGCAAACTGCCGCTACAAATGATAAAAGAAGAAAACAAACGCTTCGAAGCATTAGTAGTGGCAGCTTGACGGCAGTCTTAATTATATGAAATATAACTGGAAGTTTACATATATGTATAAACAACATACTAAGAACATTTGTGTATAATTTTTTTATGTGAAAAGTTGAATAATACAACGAATTTCTGTATAATCCGATATCACTATTTACAGTTATCGTATTGAGCATGCAATAAATACCAATTTTCGAAGAAATATTAATTTTGAGAATAAGATTACGATGACCGAGGACACAATTTGTGCCGTTGACATTCATCGACAAGCTATAAAGTTTGTATCTAAGATGATAGTATTCATGCAACGTTCACAATAATATTCTTTTGTTTTTAAAGATTGACCAAGCATTTAATGACAGTAATGGAGTTCATGATGCTTTGTTTAATTGCGTGTTGCGTGATTTGCGTAAGCCTCAACTTGTTTCAAGTAAGTCATATCGTACACGTATAATTATAAAAGACTGTTTCGAAATTATTAGCAATATTGTTCAATAAGGATGGTAAGTTTTTTATTGTATTTGTACACCTACTGGAATTATCTACATATAATAAAAGCTGATATAAGTTAAGTACAAATGACGAATGTAACGTTATAGATACTAAATGTTATGAGAAGAAAATAATAAGTAGAACACGTTATCTACAGGGTGTGTCCT